ATAGATAGATAGATAGATAGATAGATAGATAGATAGATAGATAGATGATAGATAGATAGATAGATAGATGGATGGATAGATGGATAGATAGATGATAGATAGATAGATAGATGGATAGATAGATAGATAGATTATAGATAGATGATTGATAGATAGATAGATGATAGCTAGATAGATAGGTGATAGATGGATGAATGGATGGATGGATGGATAGATAGATAGATGATAGATGGATAGATGATAGATAGATAGATGATAGATAGATAGATAGATAGATAGATGATAGATAGATAGATGATAGATAGATAGATAGATAGATAGATAGATAGATAGATAGATAGATAGATAGATAGATGATAGATAGATAGATGCACACAAAACAGTTGCTGGATTGAATAGATAGATATATTTTATGTCTTCTCTGCAGTGAAAGAACTGAGTCGGATGGGGGGACACATTTTGAAAGTTCCCTTGCAAATACTGGTCCTTTGCAAGCCAGGCCGTTCTGGGAGTCTGTGACTTCCGCAGGCCGCGCCACAAGCACTCAGCCTGTCCGTGCCCAGGCCGGGAGCAGCCTGCAATGGCACAGCCATCCTCGCCGGGCACCCAAAGCAGCTCCTCTCTGCGCTCGGAGGAGTTTCTGGTGCTGGAAATGTCCAAATCATTTCCTAGGACGGTTTCTCCGATAAAGCAGATTCTATTCGCAGTCATGATGGCGGCTTCCTGCAGGAGGAGAGCCCCGAAAACAGCCTTCCATCTTTTATCCCCATGGCCCGACGCTGATCTCTTCCGGCCCCGGTTCCTCGCTGGCTGAGCAGCTTCTCGGATGTCAGTTTGACAACATAAGCGTAGACAGAGCCTCTTAATTGTTTAATTACCGCACTAACATTGGTGCCGCTTCACGCTGGGTCGTTGTTCTGCTCATCCATGAGTAGGGGAGGGGAGGAGGAGAGAAAGAGGGGAGAGGGGGGGGGAGGGGAGGGGAGAGGAGGGGGGAGGAGAGGAGAGGAGGGGAGGGGGGAGAAGAAGAGGGAAGGGGAGGGGAGGGGAGGGGAGGGGAGGGGAGGGAGGTGGGAGCAACCTTACAAGGTGTTTCCTATATCTGAACACTGCACCCAGGTTGTTCAGAGCAATCGAAACCGCTGTCAGCTTTGTGAGGAAGCATTTATTGGGGCACTGCGCAGCTCCGTGTCCCAAACACGTCCCACCTACACGGTGCTCTCCCTCCCCCCGCCAGCCGTTCAGCCATTCCTAAGGCTCCGCTCCTCAGAGCCATCGCCCTTCCCAATGCAGACCCAACTTGCACTGCCCACCCTGGCCGAATTTGGGCCTGGTGCTGGGCTCCGAGCCCCGGGTTCCGTCCCTGCCGTGAGGTCACAGAAGGCGCCCGGCCGCCGGCCATTGTGACATCAGAGCCCCCGTCCCCCTGGGCTGCGGCGCCGCGCAGCACTGCAGTCCCGCGAGGACAGCGGAGCAGGCGAGGGGAGAGGTGCTCGTGTCCTGGCACGAGAGCCAGCTTTTGCCTGTGTCTGAGTTGGAAGGAGCCAAAATGCCGGCCCGGCAGGGCAGGTGGGTGCAGCAGGACCCAGAACGTGGGGAGGGGAAGCCAGGAGCACCGCGTGGCGCCGGGCTTTGGGCAGCCAGGAAGCCGCGAATGGCGTCGGGTGGGCACAGCCCTGCCCCCGTGGCACAGCAGAGCCCTGCGCTCTGCCCTGGCACCGGAGGCTCTTGCGAAAGGGCCCTGGGAGCTGCATGAAAGCAGGGGGGGAGTCTGGCACGTGGGGAGGAAGAAGGGCGTGCAGCAATACAGGCTGGGGGAGGAGCTGCTGCAGGGGAGCTGTGCAGAGCTGGGTGTCCTGGGGG